ATAGTTAGGTAATATATTTAGACCAGTTAGTAGGAAGTCTGACCTAAGTGCTCAGTAAGTGCTGGTTTTGTTCTTTTTGCTTAGCTGCATACACTCAGTTTATTTGATATAATATCATCAAATAAGACATTAAATCCTAAATTTGTTTTTAATTTTTTAAAACTTAAATTACAGTAGTTCCTTGGTTCATGAACATAGTCCTTTTCATGATTCTGGTCACAAAATAAATTGGATGAGAACTAAATCAGAGTTCCCGTAAGGTCAACACTGAACCTAATCATTGAATTTGGTTTGGTTCAAGACCAATTTGGTTTGCAACCAGAACTGTGGAAAAAATGAAGGCTGTGGATCAAGGTAACACTGCATTGTGTGCTTAGGCCTTTCTGATGACACATTGGTAAAAGACTTTTCTTCCCATTAATCTGTTGGACCGATTTCAAGTTTTGGGAGTATATGCTGCAGTTCTGCGTCCTGACTTTCAGCCCATCTCAGTCTTCAAGTGCAACAGTTATTTCTTTTGTGCAGTAAGAATTTGTGTTTCATGATGGTTCACTTAAAAAATAAAAGGTCAGTAAAAACGAGGGAGAAACTGAGTGAAAAGAGCACAATTTTAATTATTCTGAAATGAAACTTCCAGGCCAGGAGCTGTTCCTCGTGACCTTCCTGAGCACTGTAGATCACACTTCGGTCTGGAGGCCAGTGTCCTCATATACAGGATTTGCTCTAAGACATACATACAGTGTTATTTTACTGTTTTCATATTTGAAGATAAAGCAAGAGAAATCCCAACAAATGTGGATTTTTGAACGGAATATTGGGCAGTCTACCTCAGTGGAGGCAGTTTTAGCTGTAGGTACTATAAATGTGACTGTTTTACGAAGACACTATCTGGAAAAAGTGAGTATGAATATAGTGGTGCCAAACTTTGAAGAGTTATTGTGTTGTAAACCTGGTTCTCCTGAGCTTGGGAGAATCTCAGCCAATTCAGACAGTTGTAGAGGCTAAGGAGATTTATAACACTTTAGTTCATTTTTATGATCTTACTCAAATTTTTTAGTGCCTCCTCAGTTGTGTTGCATCTTAGTGCAGCTTTTGTGTTAGAAATTAGAGGTGGCTTATAGTAACTAACAGTTTGTCTTTGTAATTCATTTGCTGCTTCTCAATTGGTAAGTTGCTTGCTTTTTAAACTAAGAATGCTTAAGGGTTTTTTTTCCCTAAACTCATTACACAATCATAAGCCATTTATTGAACATTGTCATAAATTTGAGAATATTCCTCTCTCAAAAGATTTACCCTTTGCCATTCATCTTTGAGAAACTCCCTGGGAATATCTAATCATTCACTCAGAAGTAAGTGTCATTGGTTGAAATTGCTGCTTTGGCTTCTGTTAAATAGGAGAACTTGAGAACAAACAGTGCATCCATCACTTTGCAGAGTCATCCAGTCCACAGTCCATGGATGCCTGTTTCTCTGCAGACATTAATGCATCAGCTGAGAGTTCCTGCCCTTTGTATCTTCTTTCTTTGTCTACCATGCTTCTTTCTGAGTTAGGAGCCTCTTCCTGGAAGGAATGACCCTTCTTTCTTTCATACCCTCCTTTGAAATTGTGCCAGAAAATGAGGTCCTGGCCGGCTGTGAGGAAAGGAATCACACCCCTGGGCTGTGACGTGGTGGCAGTGTCAAAACACTGCCATTAGTTCCTGGCCCTTCCCTTTATCCACGATTGGGGCTGAATCTCATTTCCTTGCCAGCCTCCTACCTCATCCTCCTGCTCCCGTCAGCCTCTGGTAACCTGGAGAGCCCAGGACAGCTACCAGAGTGATGGCACTCCCCAGAAGTTGGAGTCCAGAAGGACCCTTCTGGTTCCAGTATCAAACTCACTGCACGTCACCAAGTCCTAATTTTCTCCTGTCTCTACACAGTTGGGGACAGTCTGCTATTCATGTCTTATGCCTGATACTTAGTTTTACTAGGAAATCTTTGCAGATTAGCTTTGTACTTTTTGAAAAATTGTGTGGAAGTAGGAAAAGCTGTGAGTGAAGTGAGTGAGGGCCACACACCTCTACCGACACGAGACCAGGATGCAGGCCTCAGGGCTGAGGAAACACAGCAGCTCACAGGGCTGTTGTGGGCCTGTCTCTTCCTCCCCGCCTGTGTGTCATAGAAATAGTCTGGATTTTCTGTGTTTGAGACTGAGTCAAAGTGACTCCTTCCGAGGAGTAGCCCAGCTCTCCGAGCAGCAGCCCCTGCCCAGTCTTTCCCTGCGTGCTGTAAGGCTGCAGTTTTAATGTGTGCTTTTTAAAAGTCTTAAGCAGTAAGTCTAAGTGAAGATAGCACCCTGAGACTTTGCACGGGGTACATCCCACACAGGTCTGTTCTGTAATGGTAAAATTCCAATCAATTAGAGGTTTTAAAGAGCAGTTATATCAGTTTACCTGTCATTGCTCTTAACCATCTTTACCTCCATACTTAGGTGATAGGAAAACTGTTACAAGTTATAAATAAGTGGATTTAAAGTCTCCTAAAATCTGGTACGCTGTTTTCTAAGTGGTAAAAGAAGAAAACCATGTCCCCTGCCCCTCCCAGGCAGAGAGTAGTTGACCTCTTGCTCCTCAGTCCTGGAAATAAGCGCAGTGGAATCAGCTTTATTTATGCATTGAGCAGCCTCAGGCTGCACGTTTCCGATCGTGGACTCTCCTCTAGTGTGGAAAATTGTTTCATTTTCATTCTTATTGGCAGGGCGATAACGTAGATAAACCTGGATAAAAGGGAATTTGGAAGTTTGGTACAGATCTGAGAATTTTTTTTTTTTTAACCTCATGCACATTGAAGTACTCTTATAACGTCTATTTTTATTCAGAATGTTTCAGGAAAGTCTTTGCAAAAATAGAGAACTTTTTAAAAGAGAGATTTGATTTTAAATCATAATGCAGTCAGTGTTTATATATGGCATCCAGAGAACAGTGATTTTGATTGGAAAGAGTTCTCAGGTGTTTTTGGAGATGGGAAAACTAAGAATTAGAGAAGGATCATTAAATGGACAGCAGGATCCATCCCTAAGGAATCTAGCATCTTTCGATTTTCCAAGTCTTTTCTACTGTGACAGGATGGTAGAAGCTAACCTATGTTTGTGCTTTGGATAAGTGGTACATAAATGGATGTTTTGCAAGTACTGTTTTTTTCTTTTAAATCATTCTGTTAAATCCTGTTTGTACTGTCAGTTGTTGAGTAGGGGAGTCATGGAATTTTAAAACAGAAAGAGACGGTAGCAGTGATGCTGTACTACTTCCCAACTTACGTGGTTGATGTACAGTAAATCTGTTAAATGAGTTGGAGGGTAGGAAGGTTCTCACATGCCAGAGAAATAAAATATTAAAACAATGATATTATAGAATTATATACTGCTTTAGGTTATCATATTGTACATAGATGTCCAAGGCTCTGGTGTTCTTTCGTAATGGTTTAGACTAGGGAGAGAATGGCTCTCTGCAGCCTGTGTACTGTAGGTTTGCCACCACTGACTTATTAGTGTGTAACAAAATTATAAATGATTGTTTTCCCTTGTTTATAAATCTGAGGAAAAACTAGCTTTTATATGAAAGTGTCAGGTACATGTATTACTATCTCTCCATGCCCATTATTTTAAAAAATTGATTGCTACGTTTTGATATACATACCCATCACGTTGTCCCCTCATCCTTTAGAAGCAGCAGCAGAGGAAGCAGCGCTGGCCAGACCACTGTTACTGTGTTACCTTTCCTCCTTTATGAAAGCATGAGAAGGAGCTCGCTCTGCAGTTTCTTGACCCAGTAAACATCTTGACAGCAATACAGCTTCAGCGAAGTCTTCCCTTCCTTTAGTTTTTCTACAAAGTAAAAGAAAAATTCAAAAACGTTTATTCTTAAGCAGTCTGTCTAAGCAGGGATTGTTGACAAAGAAGATTGTGTTCCTGAAGGAATTTTTTTTGTGCTTTGTGACCCTAAATCATGTTTGCTTGGTAAAACAGTGGCACTATATGTAACTAAAGGAACGGTAGATGCAAGATTTTACTTTTGCTAAAGCATGACTGAGAGAGTTGGAAATGAAATGGTTAGATTCAAGTTCAGAGTTAAGCACATATTGTTATTCCACATAACCATACAGTCATTTTGATAGAAATAATTTGAATATTATGTTGACTGTAGAACTTTTTGTTGGTTATACATTATTTGGCATTATTGGGCTATAATGCTTTTTAATTTCTGTTTTTTTTTAAATGTCAGCTTGCATATTTTTCTAGTAATACTACTTTCATAGTATATATTATAGTGATTAATTTGACAAAACTGCATCATTAAACCTTTTAATTCTATACATGGTGATTAAAATATAACAGTTCTAAGAAAATAGTCTGTTATTTAACACAAAGGAACACATAGGCAAGGAAAGACTTTTTTAAAATTTAGTATATGCAGCAGGGGGCACCAGATGAAGGCAAAAATGCATTCTTAAATTTTCAATCAGCTATAGTCTGTATCCTGTTCATATATTAGTAATGTGGTAGATGATTCTTTACCCTTAGTCTTCTTGATTGTTTCAGTTGTTCAAGTTTAAAAGCTCTACCGAACAAGAGAGTGTTAAATGTCCTTGCTCATTTTAATCTAGATAGACTATCTTACGTATAACCAGTGTAGTGACTATACAGATTTTTCTTTAAACATGTACTACTTTTGTAGTTTTAATAAGAAGTACAAGAACCACATTGCTTAGAATAAGGCATTAACAGTGTGTTTTTAATACCTTTTACAAAATAATCTTTTCATTAGTGAATAAAGGAAAACCCTAGTATTTGAAATGACTTGGTTTTGTTATTATGTGAACCAAATATTTTAAAATCTGGAAGCCTGTTCCTTATAGCTAGTTAATAAGTAGTTATATGGAATTGTTTCTAGAAAGCTTGCATTTAATGTTGGTGGCTTGAAGTAATTTTTTCCTTTGTTCCCCTCTTCTGTGTTATCCAGTCCAGTATCAGATGGAAATGATGCGGAGCCTTCGCCACGTAAACATCGACCATCTCCATGTGGGCTGGTACCAGTCTACATACTACGGCTCCTTCGTCACCCGGGCACTTTTGGATTCTCAATTCAGTTACCAGCACGCCATAGAAGAATCTGTCGTTCTCATTTACGGTTGGTAGGAGGTTCCTTTATTATTCTTTTCTTCCCTTCATATTACTACTGCTATTTTTGCTTTCTGTCTTTTGCCTCTAAAAGCAGCCTGGCAGGCTTTGTCAAGTAAATACCACCCCTGTTTCTGCAGCGGCCTCAGCAGCAGCAGCTACGTCTAGACAGGGTTTCCTTCTTTCTGTTTATTTTTCTTGCTATCAGAGCCCTGATGTGTACATTTTGGAATGCTGGAGTAGCTGCTTCATTTTTATTCCTCCATCTCCCCTCCCTCATAGAAGGGGCTGGTGGAGCTCGACCAGATGTCTAACAAACCCCGATTGCTGGAGTGTCTGGCTCTGTACGTGACTGACCAATCCTAACACGGTGTGCCAAGTTTTTTTATACCTCTGACAGCAGCGTACAAAACCTGGACTGTTTCTTAGCACAAAGATTTTTTTCTTCTCGGCCTATTTAATGGTGTTTCCTCAAGCTCTCCAGACCAGATGTTCTGTGCTGTATCAGAACTGTAGGCAATTTAACAGCTTTATAGCCCCCCCCCCCCAACACTCACAGTTTGCCATATCTGGCAGACTTGCATATAGTTTCCAGCTGAGAAGTAAATGTAACGTCCTGAGTATCTGTCAGAAAAAATACTAATGAATACGATCAATCTTATGAGCTGCCCCCAAATTGTTTCAGTATGTTAACAATTGGATTACAGTAAAGAACAAGCTGTTAAAGTGTACTTATATTGGCTGGAAACATTGCATCATCAGACCTTGATGAATTTTCCACTTGTTTCAGTCTATTTTGGTTTTCATTTTATCACCTATTGCTAAAAGTTTCACTGTGTTAAATTTCAGACAACATGAATGTTAACACAGGTTTTAGGCGAATATTGGCATGCCAGAGCCGTTATCATGCGGCAAGTGCTAAGCTCCCTTACTTGTGGAGTGTGTAAGCAGTTAAGTTTTGAAAATTTGTTTTTGTGAAACTAAAAAGACATATTTGTGATAACACTTTGATTTGGTGGTTTTGTTTTTACAATCTGCTTTAATTAAGAAATGTGAACAGTGATTATTGAGGTGGATAAATTTATTTTCAAGGCTATTCATTTTAAATTAGTTGACTCAACTATATTAGTTAGGCATACAACAATTTTTCATGTTTAGTATTCACCCGTATTTTCTTCTTACATGGGTTGTATAAAATATATAATTTTATTCACAAGACGATAAGTAGTTTAGCTAAGGAATGGATTTGAAAAGTTCTTAACTATATTTTGAATCTTCTATTCCTATTTTAGGAAGGAAGTTATTCTAAGTAAAATAGATCTCTGCAGCTTTACTTCCTGTTGGTTAGATATGGTTTGAATCTGCCTCAAGTTGTATTCTGATTATTTTAATCACTTTACAGAGATGCAAGATTGTGCAATATGTACCAGAATGTGCCTAGAACTGTTATTCGAACACTGGTGGTGACAGAATTTTTAGTAATGTCTTTTCTTTTCCCTTATTTGAGATCCCATAAAAACTGCACAAGGGTCTCTCTCGCTAAAGGCATACAGACTGACTCCTAAACTGATGGAAGTTTGTAAAGAGAAGGATTTTTCCCCTGAAGCGTAAGTGTTTGGGGGCCCATGGGGCATATGGTAAAGCATTGAGTGTTTTTCTTTTAAGACCTTAGTTTGCCACATTTATTGAATACTTACTTGTGCTTCGGTAATGCTTTTGCCATGTGGACTGTAGCAGTTTTCTGTACACCAAGTGCCACTCAATTTCTTCCTTTCCATGCTTAACTTAGTCTTCTTTGTAAAACATCTCATCTGTTTTCACCAAGAGCAAATTCAATTAGAGACAGAATATGCTACTGTATCTAAAGAAACAAATGATAGAGTAAAAGGAGAGTGAGAGAGTGGTCAGTGCTGGCTGACTGTGCACTCTGCTCCATATCAGACTACTTGCAGGTCACATGTCTTGTCTTCTGAGCAGTTCATGAAGAGGTGGGAAGGATACATTTGCAGGGCTTGTGAAGGGTGTGGCTTTGCAGGAATTTCCTGGGTGGTGCTGGGAAGAGTGGTGGAGCTCTGATGTGAACCTACTAAATGACACTGGAACATTTACATTTTAAAAACTAAATATGATAAAATTCTATTTTTCATTAATTGTAGACATTTTTATTATGAAATCAGTTAGTGGTTTTGATTTTGTGTAGAACAGTTCATCTCTGGCTTTCCATTTGGCTGCAGAAAAATATTGAAGTACATAGTTTTTTAAAAGAACGGCTTCCGTGTAAGCAGGTCCTTGGTTTGGAGTTACCGCTGGATCCTGAGGCTGTGTTCTGCGCTGCAGTGTGTGGAGCCTGCTGTGACTCTCCTAATTACTAGTTTTTTAGTTCAGCATACTTTCAAAGTGAACTTTCTAAGAAATAGAGTATTTTTCCCTAGCTGTTTATTTGAAATGTTTTAGATACAGATTATGTGGCATAACCATTTAAGTGTTAATGGCAGTGAAATTTTAAGGTTCCTGGTAGCAAAGAATGGTTTTTTTGCTTAAAAAAATTAGATTTTGGGCTTATAGTTCACATTCAGATCATTTTTAAAGTTAATATCCAAGTTACATGATTTATGTTTTACTCTGTAAAACTGTAGTTTTGCTCCCTGTGCTGTGTTTTAAATACTGATGGAGCAAATATACCTAGACAGGGCCTGTGATTGGCTAGAATGTATGAAATAGAAAAGTTAACACTCTTGACCACCAGACTAAAGTATTTCTAGCATGCTTCACAGATTGAAAAAGGCAAGTATCACCTTTGAGCACATGTTTGAAGAAGTGCCAATTGTCATTAAAAATTCACATCTGATCAACGTGCTGATGTGGGAGC